CACCATTATCCTGCTTTCCTGTTGTTAGTTTTGCTATTCATTACTTCTTTTGAAGCTGAGTTAAACGGAATGGCTTGGCAAGATGGGAAGCCATGAAAGTCCAATGAATTTAGAAAAAATCTGTCCTGAGTGAGGTGGATTTTGTGGGATGAAGATAAATGACTCTTTTGTGAAAGATCTCAAGGGGGGATTGCAGACCAGCTGTGAGTTTCAGCTATGATGTCTATTTTATATATTTTTCCTTGTTGATTAGTTGATGTTTTTGAATATTTTTATTCTAATTAGAGTACTTAAACAGGGGTGTCAGACTCAAGGCCTGTGGACCGGATCCAGCCCCCGGGCTGTTTAGATCTGGGACCAGCCTGGAAATAATAAAGGACCGGCTCGCGGTGCTTCTGCCATCCAAAATAGGGTGCGGCCTCCCGCAGCACTCTTCCAGCCCAAAGTCCAAGTCCCAGCCTTGGGCAGCCTCTGGCCAGTGGCGAGTCTGTCTTTGGGACTCTTGCCCAGAGCAGAGATGGGACTCAGCAGTCCAGGGTGGCTGGAGGATCTTACTGGCTGCCCAAGGAGATTACAGGGCTGTTAGCACATTTCAAATTAGAAGCAGGCTGCAATATATTAACATAATTTATTAACTATATTAATATTTAACATATTAAATATATGTTAATATATTAATATATTAAAATAATCGTTAAAAAGGCAGACAGTTGGGAGAATGCCACAGACTGCTCATAAGAAGCTACAAAAATTTAAAAAACAATCAGCTATTTTCCCAATCCTTGTATCATTTCTGTGTCACATCTGTCAAGTAGCATAAGGTACAACACTTAATGATAGTCATAGGGTACAATAAGAATCAAATCATATTAATAAATAGTCAGTAAAAATCATTACGATACAAGCAACAAGGTTACAGTCATACAGTCATAAGTGGGAGGGGTGGGTGAAAGGAAGGATGGGAGGATTAATAGTAATAGTAGGGCAGATTTTGTAATAGTTGAACAGTGTTGAGGGAATTATTTGCTTAGCAGAGTGATGGCATTCGGGAAAAAACTGTTCTTGTGTCTAGTTCTGGTGTGCAGGGCTCTATAGCGTCGTTTTGAGGGGAGGAGTTGAAACAGTTTATGTCCAGGATGTGAGGGGTCTGTAGATATTTTCACAGCCCTCTTTTTGACTCGTGCAGCATGCAGGTCCTCAATGGAAGGCAGGTGGGTAGTAATTGTTTTTTCTGCAGTCCTAATTATTCTCTGAAGTCTGTGTCTGACGTATGTCTGTCTTGTTAGGTTGCAGAACCAAACCAGACAGTTAAAGAGGTGCAGATGACAGATTCAATAATTCCTTGGGCAGTCTGAGCTTTCTGAGTTGGCGCTGAAAGAACTTTCTTTGTTGTGCTTTTTTAATGACATTTTTTGATGTTAGGTGTCCATTTTAGGTCTTGTGATATGACAGAACTTAGAAATTTGAAGGTCTCTACTGTTGATACTGTGTTGTCTAGTATTGTAAGAGGTGGTATTAGGGTTTCTTCTAAAGTCTACCACCATTTCTACGTTTTTGGGTGTGTTCAGTTCCAGATTGTTCCAGTTATACTACGAGGCAAGTTGTTCAACCTCCTGTCTGTATGCGGATTCGTCGTTGTCTCGAATGAGACCAATCACTGTTCTATCATCTGCGAACTTCAGTATTTTAACAGAAGGATCATTTGAGTCATTGATATATAGAGAGAAGAGAAGTCATTGATATATAGGGAGAAGAGAAGTGGAGAAAGCACACAGCCTTGTGGGGGCGGGGAGGGCTGTGCAGGTATCAGATGTGATTCTGCCTAGCTTCACCCGCTGCTTCCTGTCTGTTAGGAAGCTTATGATCCACTTACAAGTGTGTTCAGGTACCACTAGCTGGTTTAGTTTAGTTAAAAGAATGTCTGGAATGATGGTATTGAATGCAGAACTGAAGTCTACAAAGACGACCCTTGCGTAGGTATTTGTACTCTGCGCTATATCCTACAAGGTGTTGTAGGATATAGTGCAGAGCCATATTAACAGCATCATCTGTCGATCTATTTGCTTGGTATGTAAACTGCACGGGATCTAACAGCGGATCCGTGATGGTTTTCAGGTGGGACAGCACAAGCCTTTCAAAGATTTTCATAACTGCAGATGTTAAGAGTCTGTGGTCATCCAGTTCCCTGACGGAGGGCTTCTTTGGCACTGGGATGATAGTAGAGCGTTTGAAGCAAGAAGGAACATAGCACATCTCTGGTGATGAAAGTTAATTAGTGTTAATGAAGTGCCAAAAAGCAAAACCATGGTCAGTGTCTCAACGTATATTATTTCTTGGCAGAATTACCCTCCTGAGATTATGCAGATGATATTGGATAAGTATTTGGAAGCCACTGAAGACCCTATAGAGTTACGCAGTCAGTTTCAAAAAATGATGGAAGATGCCATCTTTGTCGTGCCTTCTCTTCAAACAGCAAGATACCACAGAGGTGAGTTCATCTACAAAGTCATAGTTTTTTTCCTAGAATAGAAATAAAGCAGAATAGAGCAAAGGTGAATTTAATGTCAAGAAAGGATTTGTATAAAGCCCCATTGGGCCCTGTACTATATTTTCCCAGTAGATATTGGAAAACCAAGCAATGATCAGTTCTTGGTCTGGCGGTTATAAAATCAACCTCTTCATCTGCGAAGATATTTTTGGTCTCCAGTCAGTTCCAAAGTGTTCCGATATAATTTGTTGATTATATGCAATAAACGAATGGAATAATAGTTTCCCAGGTTGATCATGGAGCCTTTTTTATAAATAGGTGTTATAATCGACAAAGCCTAGTTTGTTAGAATGACCAAAGAGGAATCAGCTATGGTCACAGTGAGGGCTGCAAGAATTGGTGTCCACCAGTCAATGTTAGTTTTTAGATATTTTGGAAGGGTGGAGGCCTCTCTTGCTGTTTTATGATTTTTAACTGTACTTCTAATTGGTTTTTTCCCCTCTGATTGCAAATGGTAACCAGAAGGCTCAATTCAGAATTTCTGTCTGCTTTTTGTGGCAAAAATAACTTAAAAATACAATTCCCAACTAACTTGAGAGGGTTACAGAAAATAGACTATTCTTGTCATTTTTGTCATTTTAGCTATCTTATGAGAAGCATTTTGCCATTTCATCTAGAACCAGTACAAACAGAAATTAGAAGCAGTTTGGAACTTGATCCTTTTCAGGTGTCAACTTTAGGTAGTATTTTTTCTGTTGCAATAAATCAGGAAGGGGGGAAAAACCCCACTCTGCACCTGAAGGGAGATGAGCCAAGCTAGGAAGGACGTTTTGGTGCTCGGCATTCTTCCCCAGACCAGAAGAAATTCCAAGTCAAGGAGGTACAAAGGGCACTTAGTCCTTGATAAACTAATCTGCTTTTGCAGGTCTGGAAAAAAGCAACTAGAAATGTGGATGCTTCTCTCAGTTGCAGAAAAACACTTTGGCCATAAAATACCACTTAAAACAAATATTCTTTTTAATAAGGTGAATCAATCCTGGTCATAGCTGAATAAATCAAAGCCAAAGTTCTAGAGCTCATTGTGTGGAGACAGTGTGGGAAAGTGGGAAAGAGAATCCATTCCACCTTAGCCAGATCCCCCTGAATTGCTTCTGGCTAATTTGGAAGCCCAAGGAGTCCAGAATAGATCCAAGGAGGGCTTCTCTTGCTTAGTTTAGAGGCATAAAGATTTAGAACAACTGCTCGAACTGGGGAAGAAGAACTTTCGCTGAGCATCATCGCAAAACAGAAAGCAGGGATGATCATACAGACTGGTGCAGCATCACTTGTATCCTGTCCAGTGAGGCTGGCATGGCATGTTCAGACATGGGCTTCTTAAAATTATTTCTGGACAGGCACCCGTCTTTCTGGCTACTGGAAAATTCTTCCAAGGCAACCCTCATTCCCTATTTCTATATATATATTGTGTTTTAATTTAACTTACGTAACCTTCTCTAAAAGTGCCCTCATGCCTGTTAATGCAGGATCCCAGCTGTCGTGTTCCTTGTCTCCCACTGAACACACGTCCCACGGCTCCTGGGTCTACACGGCTGTAACGCTTTCTCTGCCTCTCACCTTTTTCATAGATTCCGCTGCTCCGGTCTACTTTTATGAGTTCCAGCATCGCCCCACAGCATTCAGAGACAGGAAGCCAGATTTTGTAAAGGCAGACCATGGTGATGAACTCGGCTTTGTATTTGGGGGACCATTCCTGAGAAGCAACTCAATCACATTAAGTAAGCCCTGAAACAAATGAATGGAAATCCAGACATCTTGTCCAGATCAGGCCATTTACGAGGGGTTTGCAGATCAGCTTTCGTTCGATTCTATTCAGACCAGTGATTGACAGTTTAACTGCAGCTTGTTAATAAGCCATTTGGACCCAGGTGTTTGTGGCTGGCGAAAGAACTAGGAGAACTTTGCATGGATTTAGCAAGATTCTGTCTCAACTAGTCAGGTGGCTCAAATCAATGATCTTGTTTCATTCACAAACTGAAGACCTATTGGGGGACCCTGAAGATTCTACTTTTGCATGACAACAAGGCTGTCGGACCCAAAATAACATCCCATCAGATGATCAGGCCAAGAGCCCCACCCCACCCTGCCCAGCAGTTCCTAACTCAGACAGCTTGTCAGTGGCCCCAAAGTCTCAGGTTCACTTCGTGGGAAATGAGTTTAGCTGTAACGGCAGATAGATGGGAGTTGCTGGTGAACTTTCTCCAAAATAGGTTGAAATCCTTTTAAAGCCTTTAAATTCTAATTAGATTATGCATGGCGTGACTAAGTATTTTCTCTTGTGTGCTCTGCACAGGTGAAGCCACAGAGGAGGAGAAACGGCTTAGCAGAACAATCATGAAATACTGGAGCAACTTTGCCCGTAACGGGTGAGAGTTTGGCTATTTTGAAACACTGAATTTTGATGGCTGAGTTAAGTGATGACAGTTACGCTAAAGGCAAACCTCTGAATTCTTGACTCTGCTATTTCCAGGAACCCAAACGGCGAAGGTCTGGTGGAATGGCCACAGTATGGTCTGCATGAAGAGTATCTCGAATTAAACTTGGAACAAAGGAAATCAGAGAAACTGAGAAACAGCTATGTGGACTTTTGGTTAAAGACCCTGCCTGAAAAAATGAAAACAATAATTGAAGAAGAGAAAACACACCCAGAGCTGTAAAATTCTTGAGATGTGTACAGCACCAGTCTTGTCTGGACTGAATAGTACAGCTTATTAAACAAAAATTGTTCACACAGTCCAGAAATGAGTGTAATTTGTAACAATTTAATAAATGTCTTAAGTAATAATTGAGGCTAATGGCATTCAAAGTAATCAAATAAGAATTATCAATCATATTCAGTCAGTCTCCAACAGATCTTTATTTATTTTTTATTTATGTGTTTACTTGATTTGTCAATCGCTTACAAGATAATAGGTAGAAGTATATACATAGTTATGAATACATGAAATGGGTACATATAAGAAAAATAAGAGAAACAATAGGACAGGGACGGTAGGCACGTTGGTGCGCTTATGCATGCCCCCTACAGACCTCTTAGGAAAGGTCAATAGTAGACAGTCTAAGGTTAAAGTTTTTGGGGTTTGGGGAAAAAAACAGTCAGGTAGAGTATCCAGACATTGACCACTCTGTTGCTGAAGTTGTATTTCCTGCAATCAAGTTTGGTGCGGTTAACCTTGAGTTTGTATCTATTGTGTGCTCTTGTTATGGTTGAAGCTGAAGTATTCATTGACAGGTAAGTCATTTCAATGTATGATTTTATATGCCATGCTTAGATCAGAATGAAGACAGTGTAATTCAAGGTTTTCTAGGTCTAGAATTTCAAGTCTGGTGGCATAAGGTATTCTACAACGAGTAGAGAACTCTTCTTGTGAAATATTTCTGGACTTTCTCAACTGTGCTAATATCAGATACGTACCGTGGGTTCCAGACTGATGAGCTGTATTCGAGTATTGGTCTAGCAAATGTTTTGTATGCCCTAGTTAGAAGTGTGATATTACCAGAGAAAAAGCTACGTAAGATTAGGTTAACAACTCTTAATGCCTTTTTGGCTATGTAGTTACAGTGGGCTCTAGCACTTAGATCATTAGACAGTGCAGATGAATAAAAACTTCCCTTTAATCCAATGGTTCCCAAACTTTTTCAGTCCACCGCCCCCTTGGTGCTACAAACTCATCCTAGGTGCCCCCCACCCAGGGGTGGGATTCAAATTTATGTGGGTGTGGCCTAATTTGAGAGTGTGGCTTACTGGTTACGTGACTGGGTGGGCGTAGCTTGCTGGTCATGTGACTGGCTGGGTGTGGCTTGCTGGCTGGGTGTGGCTTGCTGGTCACATGACTGGGTAGGTGTGATTTGGTGGTCATGTGACTGGGTGGGAGTGGCCAGGTGACTGGCAAACCAAATACAAGTGGTCCTCACTTAATGGCCGGTTGTTTAGCAAGTGTTCTAATTTATGATTGGCCTCCCCAGAGTTACTTGATCTGTTTTGGAGTTTTGACAGCTATGCACACACATACACACACACTCCCTTCCGACCCTGCTGGAGCAGGTCATTGGGCTAGAATCGGCAAAGCATCTCTGATTAGATTCTAGTAGTGAATAGAATTTAATCAGAGATGCTTTGCTGATTCTTGTTGATTTGTTTTATTTGAATTTCTTTATTTTATGTTGCTGAATTGCATTGACATGTGTGTCCCTTCTTGTGCACAACCCAGAAGTTTTTGTGATTCTTTGCAGCAAAAATTACCGACCTCTGGCTTTGCTCTACTTTTCAAACATGCCAGCACCGCCGTGTTCTAGGTGCCGGCCCCGCAGGTCCACCCCATTGAGCCCGCTGCACCGGAGAGACCTGCCCAAGCAAGTCCGAGCGGAGCAGTGCACCAAATCAACGGGGTGAGCCTGGGAGAGGGAAAGAGAGGGAGAGAGAAAAGAAAGAGAGAAAGAGAGAAGGAAATATCTATTCTAGTCCAGTCACCTGCTCCAGCAGGATTAGAAGGGAGTGTGTGTGTGTGTGTGTGTGTGTGTGTTCTTGTAATTTACCAGTACATTTTGGTTTTGCCTTGGGGGGGAATTCCTTGGGGAAAAGTAATTTTTAGGGTGGAGATCTGGTCCAGTGGATCCTGTTTAAAACCTCAACAAAATGTGAGAACTTCCTGATAGTCTTGACCATGTTTCGTCCACAAAACCTGTAATAGAAGCCAAAGATGTTTCAATGTGGAAAAGGGCCTCAGTCTAAACTAGGCCTCATTTCAATCTGATGCATCAGCTCTCGCTCTCCCTCCCTCCCTCCTTCCCTCCCTCCCTCCCTCTCTCCCTCCCTCCCAGACTGTCCTTGCTCTACTTCCCCAATGTGCCTGCGGGGCCGGCGCTTCGAATATGGATGGATGGATGGAGATAGAGAGAGAGACAGGTACGTAGGTAGGTCGATAGGTAGATCTATATTGGCAGGTAGGTAGGTAAGTAGACAGAAATATAGGCAGGCAGGTAGGCAGGAAGGCAGACAGACAGGCATACCTTTTGGATGGATGGATGGATAGACAAACAGACAGACAGAAAGAATGCGACAGTGGCAGCACTTTGGGAAAGTAGAATAAAGCCAGAGTGGCTTTGCTCTACTTTTCCAATGTGCTGCCGCCGCTACATTCGACGCACCGGCTCTGCAGGCTCACCCCATTGAGCCCCTTGCCGCTCCGGTGCAACAGTCAATGGGATGAGCCTGCAGGGCCAGCGCCTCAAACGCTCCCCTGCCACCTCTTAGCGCCCCTATGCCAGTCCCCTTGGGCGCGCTAAGAGGCGGCAGGGGGGCGTTTGAGGCGCTGGCCCTGCAGGCTCATCCCATTGACTGTTGCACTGCTCCGGAGCCGGCACCTCGAATGTGGCAGCACGTTGGGAAAGTAAAGCAAAGCCGCTGCCACTGCATTCAAGGTGCTGGCTCCGGAGCGGTGCAACAGTCAATGGGGTGAGCCTGCGGGGCCGGCGCCTCAAACACCCCCTGCCGCCTCTCAGCGCCCTCTTAAGGCATCCCACCGTCCCCCAGGGGGCGGTACTGCCCACTTTGGGAACCACTGCTTTAATCCATAGGATCCCAGATTCATTATGGCTCCTTCCGGGATGGAGCTCTGTAGCCCAGGGAGGCTGGGGTGTGTCTGCTCTCCTTCTCTGGAGTTGTGTTGGGGAAAGGGAGCCTCTTCTCTTAGAAAGAAAGGTCCAGAAGGAAAGGAGGGCAACTCTTATCCTCAATTCCCATTTGTCTTCTCAGATATTCTTTTCATAACTGATTTTTATATGGAACTATTTTTCTTATCCATCTTTGAGCAATCAACAAACAATGTATCATGATAATAGCCCATTTTTAATAAAGTTTTTCTTTATTAAACAAACAACCAAACACAAACAAGTTTACATTAAAAAAATGAATGTGGTACAGTTTTCCTAACATCAATCATTGTCATTACATTGCTATATCCAGTAATAATATTACATAATTTCCATCTATATACATTTAGTATACATTAAGTCATTCACTATTCCCATGAATTGTCCTCGCCTCTAGCCAATCATAAAATCTATCCCATATTATATAATAATCCGTATCTTCCTTATTCTTAAATTCTTTTGTTAGTTTATCCATTTCTACACACATTGTTATTTTCCTCAATATTTCCACTTCATTTGGGATATCTTTACTTTTCCATTTCTATGCATACGCCAACCTTGCTGCAGTAATTACATGGATCATTAAGTACATTTTCTCTTTATCATATTTCGTAGTGTTAATTCCTAGCAGAAAGAACTCAGGCCTATGTTGTAATTCAATTCCACACATTTCTTCTATCCACTTATGTAAATTTTGCCAGTATTTTTGGGCCTCTCTGCAACTCCACTATAAATGATAATAAGTTCCTCTTTCTTTATTGCATTTCCAGCAGATGGGGGGAAATTTAGAATTCATTTTCGCCAGTCTTGATGGGGGTATGTGCCATCTATAAAATAATTTATACAGATTTTCTTTCAAAGGAATCACTAAGGTCATTTTTTTTGTTTCTATTCCAAAGTTTTTGCCAATCATCTAAATTAGTGCTATAACCAAAAATTTTCATCCATACCACCATCCTTTAGTTCTGATCTCACCACCCCTATCTCATTCTTCATGGCCTCATGATTTGTTCTTGAACATCCTTGCTATTCTTGCGGGGCGGGGCGGGGGGGGGGGGGG